ATTAGTGGCAATTTTGTAATAATTTCATCTTCTTTATATTAGGGGTTTCTGCGTTTTTTTTCAAGCCACCATTGATTTTTATCATCCAATCTTCATTATTTTTGTGTTTTTACCTTAAAAGCTTACAAATCTTATGCAGATTAACGTATTAGAACTGAAGACCCAAAAAAGAGTTTTAATTTTCAAGTATGGAGAAATTAGTTATTTGGTTCCGGCTACATTACTGTTTCCGGCGAGCAGCAAGCTTCGTCGCCTGGACATCGTTCGAACTCGATTAATCTTCTTCTGCCTTCGAAATCCCCTTTGTCATTATCCTAGACACATGATTAAACCCTAGAAATCGCCTACTTTTTTCAAGTTCTATCTGGAGAAAGTGAAAGGTTTCACGGTTGGAAAAGGAGAGAGAAGAGAAGAACAAGAAACAAAAAAAAAATATACAAAACGCTAACTAAATCAAATACCGAGCAATTACCCTTGGTTACACCTTTTTAAGGGTAACTTAGGTCTTTTCACAGCAACAACTGCTCCAAGAGCAGAAACTGTCTTTTGTTGAAATAAAAAACACGAATCTGCCTTACAATGAAAATTACTCGTTAAAAGCGTCATCGTTGAAGCTTTAAACGATCACATTGTTAACGTCATATACATCACGATTATATAATCTTCATAAATATATCTTGACATATCTTAAAAGATAGATTAAATAATGAAGATACTAATTAAATACATGTTTTAAAAAAAAAATATTTCTAGAACTATATAATTCATTTACAGAAAAAGGTAAAAAACTCAAAAAAAAATGAAAAAGAAAAATATATGGGACCCACTTTACTTGTCTTGTTTATTAGGAAGAGTAATAAGTAACTGAATAGTTAGAAAATAAAACTAGAAGAAGAAAATGTTAGGATAAAGTACCTTAGTAGAAGAAAGTGTCTTTTCTTGATATTAAAAACACAAAACTGCCTATGAGTGATATATTTTCTTTATATAATGCGCTTCAAATGAGACGACGTTGTTTAGTTTTATTTTGTAAACATAAAACTGATAAACCCCCTCTGCATCTTCTCTCTTCTTGTAAATTATCTGTCTTTTCTTTTTCCGTTTGCTCTCGAGAGTGTGAGAGAAAGAAACACTAAGTTCCTTGTGGCTTCTTGCAGGTTAGCCTCAGAATCTCAAAATCGCCTTACTCTTTCTCCATTCTTCGTTCCTATCTTGTCCGATTGGTTTCTTTATCTTGCTGTTGAAATCTGAGTGTAACGTTTTGGTGATTATTGTTGAAATTTGCATGATAAATGGTTCTGCATACATCATTTGACCAGTAATTAGATAAAAATCGAAACTTTTGTCTGTTTGCTAAATTTACGTGTAAACCCTAATCTTACCCATTACTTGTGTCGTGTGTGTGTTGATCTTGGAATCAGCTTATTAGCGATTTACTCTTTCGCCTTCTCTGTGTGATTCTTGCTTTAGTTGATATGTCTGAGCTTGAAGATGTATGAAACTTAGAGATGTCTGAACATGAAAATGTCTGAACACGGTGTCTATGATGTCGGTTGGGTTCTGTTCTCAGTGTATTTTAGCCTCATCTACCAAACTTAGAGATGATATGTCTGAACTGAACTTGGAGATGTCTGAACTTTGAAAATGTCTGAAATGATATCTGAACTTGGAGCACTCTTTCATCTTTTTTGGCTAACCAATAACATGTTTCCTTTGTCTTTATGTCGTTTTCCTGATTCACTCAACCACATCTGTTTCAGATGTCTGAAAACATGGAGCATTCTCCGGAGCTGTCACCATCTCCTCTAATTCCGTCACTTCCAGACGATGTCACCGTGGATATCGTGGCTCGTGTGCCTAGAAGCCACTACCCGATACTCTCTCTCGTTTCCAAGAGTTTCAGGAAACTCATTGCCTCTCCTAAGCTCCACAAGAGGCGATCTCAGCTAGGCATCACCCAACACCGTGTCTATGCTGTCCTCCACAACCCCAAAACGGGTGACTGCCGTTTCTACATCCTCCACCGCAAAGTCAGCTCGAGAAACCGCTTGGTCATCGTCCCATCACTTCCTCCCATGTCTCTCCGCGGATGCTTTGTCCCGGTGGGTTCCAAGGTGTATGTGTTCAACGATGTTGATGCCCTCAGCATTGACTGTACATCCCACACATTGCAGCCCATCCCTGACATGCCTCTCCGCATGTCTGCGTCTCCCATGTCTAGCAAAGTGGCTAATGTCATCGACGGGAAGGTTTACCTGATTGGTGATTGCGCACTGGTTACGAGCCATGGGATGTCGTGGAGTAAAACAGTGATGGTGCTTGATACAGAAACGCAGTCGTGGGAGCCGCCGGTGATGATAGAACAATACTTGCGGGTTGGTGCTCTTTGGTCTGATGCTGTGGTGATGGAGGATAAGATTTTCATGAAAGGTTTTAGGAATGACTATTCCATTGTTTATGGACCAAAGGAGAACACGTGGGAGTCGATGGGCGAGGTGTTGAACTCTAAAAACTGGGTGAGTGCGTGTATGGTCGATGATGTTCTTTACTATCACGATTGTTCAGAGAAGGCGTTAAGGGCGTATGATCAGAAGCAGAGCCGCTGGAGTGTTGTCAACGGTTTGGAAGAGTTTTTGGCGTCAAAGTGTGCCCTGTCAAAGCGGCCCAATGTGGTGAAGTGTGGTGAGAAGAAGCTGGCTCTCTTCTTTCCTAAGAAACATGACGGCAAGGAGGTCTTTTTCTGTGCAGAGATTGCTTTGGAAAGGCGCCAAGGTGGAGAGATTTGGGGTAACGTGGAGTCGTGTGATGTTGTCATAGAGGACGGGCTGTTTGACATGGTCCAATGTGTTGCTGTCACGGTTTGATGCAAGCATAAACTCTAATTAGATCCTTTGTGTTTTCATTATCCTTTTTTTTCTTTTTTTTTTTTTGAACAACCATTATCCTTTGTTTTCATTAGATCCTTTGTGTTTTCATTATCCTAAATGCCATCTCGTGTACGTTTGCTAACTACGTTAGTGTAAGACAAAACTTGTCCTATGTTCAGTTAAATTTGCTATGTTTTATTCTTGAATGGATTCCATAGACATGAAGTTTCCATCGTCACGGTTTCAAAACTTGTCCTATGTTCAGTTTAGCTTAATATGTATAATTGGAAATGTAGTCAGATTTTAGACATGTACATTTGGTTCATGCTCAACTTTTTTTTTTTGAGCAACGTTAATACTCAACTTATGATGCAAAATAAACGTAAGATTCGCTAATGTTTGGTGCCCATGTTCGACTATGATGCAAATCTTTAAGAGAGATGAATCAAAGAAAAGGAAACATAGGAGTTTTGAGATGAAACGGAAACCTTAAACACACGCACACACACACACCATTTCTTACACGCACACCATTACTCGAAACATATAAGTTTATTTTGTGTTTTCTTGCACCATGTCTAGTGAATTTTTTTATATTTTAAATTTAAACTAGATTTTGTTCCGTTCTTTAAAGAGCGGGTATATTTTATGTTTTCATTTTTTTTAGAAATTTAGTTTTTATATTTGTGTTATTTAGTCATATCTATTTGTTTGTAAGTATATTTATGTAAAATATTTTAAAAATGATTAGTAAGAGATTTTGATAATTGTATTAAATTTGTGATATTACATAACTATACACTCGTATTTAGTGTCGGGAACGGGTTGAACCCGTCCCGCTCGACCCTCTCTGCAGCGGGTTTGAGTCATTATTTTGACTCAAAATTTAACATGTCTGACCTGCAAATAAAATATATTTTACCCACGCCCGCCCCACTTAGTTTTGCAGGTAACATGTATGAACCGCTGATAATGATTAAATAATATACGTAATTGTTTTTTTTCTAAAAAAGTATAAATAATATATTTTAATTGAATTTTTAATTATTTGGTATATTTTAATTATTTTAACTAAATTAGGTTTACTTTTTTTTAAAAAAAAAATAAACCTTTAAAAAATTTGATCTTTACGGATTAGCGAGTACTCGCGATATAAATTAGACCAACCCACATACGCAACTTAGTTTTCTCAAATAGATCAACCCACACTCACCCCTCAACGGGTCAAATAGGACGGAACCCGTGGACTATGATTAAATTTCCCAAGCATTCATGTCATAGTCATTTCACATATTAATTTGTATTTTATTCCTAATCAGTTATTTTAAAATAAAATAACAAAATATAGCGACAATTTTGTTTAGTAATCAAATAGTAATTAAATAGATAATTTATATGTTTTTCATTAAATTTTCATGATTTGATTTCATGAAAGAACCTTGGTAGCTTCAAGGGCTTCCCACATAGAGGATCCTGAGGTTATCACAGCACAGACTACAGAACCAGCAGAAGCTCCTGCTAATGGAGTAGTGTCCTGAATCAAACAACACAACCATCAAAAACCTACCTTTCCTTGATTCATCATATAAAGACAGAGAATTCAAGAATCACCTTGATGTAACCCTTCTCGATGAGAAGCTGAGCAACTCCAAGATGATAAGGGAACAAAAGACCAGAGCAGAGAAGCTAAACCCAGGGCTTGTAATGATCCTCCTCTCTTTCTCAGCCTCCACGTCTTTAACCCTTTGTTCCCATATCATCGCTGGATCAATCTCATCGGGGTGGTTGTTTCTGCAGAAGCATCGTTCCGCGGAGGAGGAGAAGATTCGGCGGCGATGCCTTTACTCTTGAGATTGGAGTCGATGTAATCCACGTGGTGTCGCCGGCAATTCTCCCCGTTGTTCAGATTGATGTTGCTGGTGTCTCTGTGGAATCGTCGGCGATGATGGTTGATCCTCTGTCATAGGTGGATGATGAGGAAGAGAGTTGATGTCGTTGATGTTTTGGGAGTTGAAGGACAGAATGAGTGCCACGTAGATAAGGATTCAATCCTTCTAACCCCTAATTAAGGACTGCTCCTTAATAAATGATGTCTTATTGATTTTCTTTTAATTTGATTTACCTAGGATTTGCTGCTAAGGATCTGTTAGAAACCCTCATTGCACTTGCTCTAAGGATCATCAACTTCGTATGTTTATCATTATTATGTCCCAAGATCAATTACTCGTCTCCTATATGAAGACCTTGTAGACTTACGTTTCACATAATAATGAAAGAAAAAGTTAGAAAAAAATATTGTATAAAATTTTGAAAATTTTGTTTGGTAACAAAAATTATATGATTATAAATATAGACTGAAATAATATTTCTAAAATTTTAAAATATTTATATTATTTAATGTCATATTTGAATATATTTATTAGTAATGGTATATGAGTTATTAACATATTTTAAAATGTTTACTAAAAACAAAAACCAACATTAAATGTAATCATCCATGTCACATTTTTGAAACCGTTTTATCATATATAGTATGACATGTTAGTGATTGTAAGAGGACATGTTACATATTTGTTTTGTAGAAGTGATTGTAAAGAGAACATGTGTCAAATTACTTTGCAAACAATTTTTTTTTTAAGTTGAATGAAACTTTGGAAATCTTATTTAGTAATAAAAATTGTATGATTATAAAAATAAATTTAAATAATATTTCAAAATTTGTAAAATATTTTATATTTTTATTAATATATTATTTAATGTCATATTTGAATATATATTTTAATGATGATTTATGAGTTATTATCAAATTTTTAAAATTTACTAATAATGAAAATAAACATTAAATGTAATTAACCATGTCACATTTAGCCATAAGCCATGTTATTATTTATACTATGACATGTTACATTTTTTTAGTGAAAGTGATTACAAAAAAGACATGTGTCAAATTACTTTGCAAATAGTGTCTAGAAAATATATTGTTTTGTTAATTGAAAATGTCATCTATTTTAGAACTTCACATATTAATCAAATAAATACATTTTTAAAATCTTTTATATTAAATCTATGAGAGATATCGGGAATTAGATACAATTATAAACTCGTTTTGAACAAAAGTACCACGACTAACTATTAGAAGCCTACCTTCCCCACCTATCAAACCCGGCACATTACGCTAGTTTGTTTTTGGAAATTCTTTGATATCAGTAGCCGTTCTCAACCATCGACGTGACTCTTGGAAAAGTGAAGTTCTCCTCGATGCCTTGGATGCCGGGAAATTCTGGGACGTCTCTGGAGTAACTTGTTCACGATGAAATCCATGAAGCTAAAACATTCCCTGTCTATGAAGCTAAAGACGACCATAGGAAATGTCTAAAAATATGTACACTGCATAGCTCATCATCCTTCGACACAGATCAACTTGAGTGGTGGTGTAGAAGAACTGTGTTTATCTTTTTTGAAAAGGCTTCCAAGAATTGTAGTTTCTGTTTGCTATGATTGTCAGGACAAGATGTGAAAATTCAGACCTATTTAACCTGTATCTTTTTGAAAACGGTGATTTGTCATTTTTTGGAATGAATAATAGATTTATTCTGGACAAAAAAAAATACTTTTTAACAATAGATGTGCCGTTGTTTAAAGAAAAACTTTGAACTGTTTGGACTACTCTAATAACCTTCCTTCGAACCAAGAGCTTGTCTGCCCCCACATTTCAAGAAACAATCGCCTATGCCCCTCTTTAATCGCCTATACCCCTTCCTCTTTAATGAAACTTCAATATCCAATTTTACTTTTTAAGTTTTTTGAAATTATTATTGTTTATTTTTCAAATTTTGAAAATTTTCAAATTTTTGAAATTTTGTAAAATTTCAAATTTAATTGTCGATGGTCGTAATTTTAACTAGTTGTACTGAGTTATATTTTGTGAGTTAGTTATACTGAGTTTTATATAAGTTATACAAAGTGTTACTAAGTACTACTGAGTATAGTTATATCGAATTCTACTAAGTTACCGATTTCTATTAAGTTATACTGGTTATACTACGTAATACTGAGTACTACTAAGCTAGTTATACCGAAGTTAACTGAGTTCTACTAGTTATACTGCAAACTACTAAGTACTACTGAATTAGTTGTACCGAGTTTGAATGAGTTAGTAATATCGAGTTAACTCAAGGGTTGTTCTTCATCTTCAGATCTGGATTCAGTATAACTCGATATTACTAACTAATTCAAACTAAGTACGTTCAAACTCGGTTGGGAACATACTTCTAGATCGTATAACTAACTCACAAAATATTACTAAGTACTTCTAGGTCAATTCAGGTATGAAGGTATTATCTCGGTTTCTCCGGTTTTGTTAATACATGTGAATTGAGTTTTCTTCTGCGATCTAGAAGTACGTTCCCAATAATGGCATATGATACAAATCTCTTTTTAACTTTTTTTTCTGGCTTTTGTTTCTTAAATCAGGAAGTGAAAAGCATAGATTCGAGAGATCCTTGATAGGTCTTCATCGACAATTATATATTCTGTAAAAAGGTGAGAGTTCTGGATCATTTAACAGTCTCTGACTCACACATTGATAATCTTTCAATCATTAGAAATTTAAAATGGTCACCTAGGGATAGTGGTACCCATGTATGGTGAAGTATATTGCAATCTGCGGCAATGTTTTTTTAGAGTGGTTTACATGTCTTCAGGCTTTTTTTTTTACTTGGAGGATCAAGTTGCGTCTTCGCCAATAGAAAGATAATGTAAATGACAAAATGGTCAACCATCTGTTGTCTAACAGAAAATACAGACTTATTAAGTTAAGTTTTGGTTTAAGCAAAAACTTTAGGAGTTTCATGAAGTTATTGTTCATAAAACTATATTCTATGAAATATGCGAATGAAACGTCACATAGAGTATTCTCAGCGTATGATTTATTGGGTAAGAATTGGGTTAGTCTCCTCCGACGTGCCGATCAAACATAGCGGCAGAACCAGTGTTTCCTCCACCAATAAGCATAGTCTTTACACCTTCATTCAAGATGGATCCTTTCACCTCCTTTTTACAACCTTAATTTACCAATTCACCATTCAGTGTGGTTTGTAAATTTATATTTTCATTTCTCCAATGTCACAGAGAGAAACTATTTGAATTTACATTTTGTGGCACTACTCATAGGTTGCGTATCTGCAATTTAGACATACCTGCAACATTTATCTTTGTTGTTTGAACATGATCTAGAACATGTGATCACGTCAATCTTTCAGTCATCCATATGATTATTAACAAAAAATGTTTAGCTGGAATATGAACTCAGCGTCTTGGAAAGCCTCTTGCAGATGGGGTAAGAATGTGTAATTTTTTGTCTTTAATTTTTATTCTTAGATAGCAACATCTGATTACTATGTGAGAGATTATGCAATCATGTATTTTACTGTCCCCTAAATCGATTGCTATTCTATTTCTAGGTACTAGACAAGGATCATGGAGCCATTCTCATTTTCAAAGGGATCATAGAGAGTATTCTTGAAGTATACGCTCTGTTAAATATGATGAACTGATACTGTAAACATATGTACTTTTAATATTATAGAAAACACCAATTGTTTTGCTATGAACATGTACTGTTCATCGTATCTCACACCAATTGGCTTGCGTATTCAGTATTCTAAAACTAAGTTCCATAATTTATAATTGCAGGTCACCATCACCGTAATCCACCGGCACGTGTAGTTCCGCAGAGAAACGGGGAATTTGAGGTCCCCAAAATTGTATTGTCCAAACTATTGAGAACCGAAAAGACCAAACTCTTTTACTATGTTAAATGCAAATAATTATTCTGCAAAGTAAGGTCTCCGAGCTCTCAAACGTCATTTTCTCAAAAGTTCTTTTATACCAACCTTCTTCTTTGGTCTCGATTTTCTAATTAGTTTTCATAATAAATAAAATCAAACTACTATCTTCTTTTCAAAATTTAGGAAGACAAGAATTCAAGCTATAAAAACGAGAATCAATAACTTGGAATATGGCAAACAATCTATAACATGCGTGATGCGACATTAAAAAAAAATTCTACAATACCACATCCACGACAAGTCAAATTTCTAAATCCCGAACATAAACTATATAACTGTAACATTAAGAATGACCCAAATAAGCAAGTCAACGCCGATACAACCAACAATGAAAATATTAAAATATTAAGTTACTTCTTTTGGTTTGTGTTTGAAGAGAAAAAAAAAATTTCAGAAAATATTTGTCTGCGGTTTGATTCATCTTAATTTCTAAATTATTAATGGCTACACTACATTTACGTTATTTAGGATTAATCGTAACCTACAAAAAATATTTTCAAATACCATGAACAAAATTTCCAATAAATTCTAGAATAATCTCCAAAACCTAATCACTAAAACACTAAAAGTTAAATCAATTTTCATTATAAATTGAAAATCTAGTATACACTGAAACAAACATATATTATAAAACATCATTTTTTGTCAAACAAAATATACTAATTTTTATCTGTGACATTATTGAAACTATTTATATAGTACTTTAAAATATATATTTTTTTTTTATAATTTAACACAGTACATTATGTTTTTAGTTAATCTATCTTCGAGGTCGATTAGTTGATTATCTTGAGAAAATTAATTAGTTTAATAATGTTATAAATTGAAACTCTTAGAAAAAAATGTTTTAGTTATTCATATTTTAGATTTCTTCAAATATCAAAGTGAAATAAATATCAATATAAAAATATAAACCCAAACATTTTACTTAATTTTTTTATTTAAAACTATATGTTCTCTTTAAAAAAGAAAGTTAGTAGTTCTTTCAACTCAAACCAACAAAATTTTAATAAAATATAATTCTAGGAAAAAATAGATTTATTATGTTCAATTTAAAGTAATTTTTCAAATATATTATAAAATAAAATATATTTAAAACTCACCCGCCCGTAAGGCA